ACCAAAGTTGGGAAGACGAGATAGGGGTTTAGTTTTGGCTCATCCCAGGTTTCTCACTGGGATTTTTCAAAGTTACTGAACTTAAAAGCGTTGTCTCATTTCTGTTTTTGTTTTCCTGAACAGGGTTGAGTGGAGAAGACCAGGTGGAGCAAAGTCCTCAGACCCTGAGGGTCCAGGAGGGAGACAATGTCAGTCTCACCTGCAGTTACACAGTCAGCACTTTTAGAGGGCTCCAGTGGTACCGGCAGGATCCTGGGAAAGGCCCCGAACACCTCTTCCTCCTGTATTCAGTTGGGAAAGGACAGCAGAAGGGGAGACTGAGCGTCTCACTATCACAGAAGGAAAGTTCTCTGCACATCACAACCCCTAAAGCTGAAGACTCAGCCACTTACCTCTGTGCTGTGGAGCCACAGTGCTCCCCGGGCACCTGCAGCCTGCACCAAAACCCTGCAGCAGGGGCCCTGGAATAAGGGCATCTCTGTTGTTTTTCCTCCTCGATGAGGTATCTCCTTAGCACCCAGAACCTCTTTCCAAGTGGTGCTATGGAGAATGAAGTCTCATGGCACAGCCAGATGGCAGAAAGCACTGTTCATTCTGTCCAAGAATCCTGGGCCCCTATGCGTGTTCATGGGTCAGGCTGCTCTCCATAGCAGCCCAGAGCGTCCTTCACATGGACTGAGATGGGATATCTGTGATATGGACAGTCTTGGTTTCCCGACTTGGGCCACTTGAAAAGAAACTTCACAGAAATACTTTGCCCTGAAATTTCTTTTTTTATTATCTTTTAATAATCTGATCATATGTCTATCCATAAGTGAATGCTTCCTATTTTAATATCGTCTTCTTGAGGCTTCCATATCCACAAGCCACATTTCTACATTTCTCTTCTCCTTAATAATCAGAGTAGATAAAAGAATTGTCTACGTACTGTCTCCATTTTCTCAACTTCCATTCCTCATCCACTTGAACCTGGCCTGTGTTGGCATCACTTCAGACGCTCTCACTTAAACACCAGTGGCTTAGGTGTTGATAAAGTCAATGGATGTTTTCCAGTTCTCATCTTGTCTGAGATTCTCATCCAGTCTCCCTCCCTTCTTTGTAAAAAATGGATTTTATTTTTATCAAAATAATACCTGTATATATTTTCAAAATCAAACAACATCCTGTTTTTGGTCTCACTCCTCCACACACTCCAGTCTCGCCTCCCCGATGGAACCACTTTTAATTCTCAGGTGACAGCACTGACATTTATCTCATTATTTTAAAGTGCTATTTTCTCTCTCTCTTTTTTTTTGTACTCAAAATACAATGCATAAAACAAAGTGCACAAAACTTACAAGCCTACAAATAAATAAAATTTTACATTTGCTTCTGTGTATGTAATTCCACACAGATCAATAGGTTGAACATTTATGTTTCTCCAAAGGGTTTCTCTATGTTCCTTCCCATTGAGCAGCTCTTTCTCCCATTCTCCACTCAAAGGAACCACTATTCTGACTTCTATAATCAGTTCTTGAACTTCATGTGACTGGAGTTGTACAGAATGGCACATTATAAATTCCCATATCTGGCTACCTTCACTGAACACCTTCCCCCACCATTTTCCCCCATTGACCTTCTCTACACCACACCTGCCCCTCCCAGCCCTTCCAGGCCTTCACCACAGGTCTTTGTCCATGGGCTATACACATATGCATATAAGTTCCCCAGTTAATCTCTCCCCCTAAAGATGAAAGTTTTAAACAGGAAT